TCTTTCTTTCTTTCTTCTACAACCCTCCTTTCCTTTCTTCATCTTTCCTCCCTCCTTTTATTCCTTTTCTTTCTTTCATTCTTTCCTTCCTTCCTTCTTTCTCTTCCTTCCTTCTTTCTTTCTCTTCCTATCTTCCTTCTTTATTTCTTTATTTCTCTTCTTTCTTTCTCTTCCTTCCTTCTTTCTTTTCTTTTTTCTTTCTTTCTCATCTCTTCATTCTTTATCTTCCTTCCTCTCTTCTTTCTTTTTCCTTCCTTCCTTTCTTTCTTTCTCTCTTTCTCATCTTTTTCTTTCTTCTACAACCCTCCTTCCCTTTCTTCATCCTTCCTCCCTCCTTTCATTCTTCCTTTTCTTTCTTCCTTCCTTCTTTCTTTCTCTTCCTTCCTTCTTTCTTTTCTTTTTTCTTTCTTTCTCATCTCTTCATTCTTTATCTTCCTTCCTCTCTTCTTTCTTTTTCCTTCCTTCCTTTCTTTCTTTCTCTCTTTCTCATCTTTTTCTTTCTTCTACAACCCTCCTTCCCTTTCTTCATCCTTCCTCCCTCCTTTCATTCTTCCTTTTCTTTCTTCCTTCCTTCTTTCTTTCTCTTCCTACTTTCCTTCTTTCTTTCTTTCTTTCTTTCTTTCTTTCTTTCTCTTCTTTCTTTCCTTTCTTTCTCTTACGTTCTTCTTTATTTCCCTTCTTTCTTTCTCTTTCTCTCTGTTTCTTTCTTCTCCAACTTTCCTTCCCTTTCTTTATCTTCCCTCCCTCCCTTTATTCTTCCTTTTCCTTCCTATTTCTTAACTTCCCATCCCCTAATCCTCTTTGTTCCTCTTCTCTGCACTCTTTCCAGAGTATCAACATCGTTTCCCAGATCATAGGGACCAAAACTGGATGCAGTAGTCCAAGGGGGAGGGGTGCCTTACCCCCCTCGCAACCAGTTCACCCCCGTTTTCGGATTCAACCCCGCAGCCGCCTACCTGAGGTTGGTGCAATTGGGGCAGCTGGCAGGCCATTCAAGCTGACGGTGCCGATCTGCTGGATGTGGCACGGTGAGAAAGTGAGGCTGGGGCTGAGAAAGCTACCCTGGGAAGCCGACAGGACCGTTTGCTGCTGCATCAGCTGCCACAGAGAGAAAAAAAATAAATCATCCCTAAGATTATGGATTAGGTTTCCAGGGGTCACTTCCAGGATTCAGAGATACAGAAGGTTTTTTTTATTTATAAATAAATAATAAAAAAACTAATTTTGCCAAGAAGGTAGGAACGGAACAGTAGCAGAACTCGAACACAATGCAGGAAGTCCTCGACCTACGACCACAACTGAGGCCGAAAATTCTGTCCCTAAGCGAATGGCTGCTAAGTGAATTTTTGCTCCATCACACGACCTTCCTTGCCACAGTTTTTTCAGTGAATTTAATTTAATTTAATTTAATTTAATTAACCACATTTATATGCCGCCCAATCCCGAAGGACTCCGGGCGGCTTACAAAAATAAAGAGAGAGAGAGAAAAAAAGACACATAACGAACACATAACAACAACAACAAAACAAAACGGTTTAAAATAGCAACACCTTATACATTCATTCTAATCGGGGCTGGACCTCAACAGTGAGGTCAACAGCCCCAGCCCTGCCGGAACAGCCA